ACAACATACTCATGATAGGGGAGCTGCTCTTAGGGAGTGTCTTGCTGTCTGGTTGCAAAGAGCTGATGGTGTGGATAAAAATGGAAGAGCCAACTATGTATCACTAGCTAATGCTGTAGAGAGATTGGGACAAAGAGCTGCAGCTGATGACATATGAAGTGAGTTATAATAATTGTATTAGTAGATTAACTGAGGGAAAGGTCCAATGGTATTATTATTATTTATAAGGATTAAATATTAATTAATAAAATTGTTATTATTATCATTATAATTATAAATTGTTCTTAGGACAATGTGGAATTGAAACGGCACAAGAGGATACCCCTGTCATTGGTATATATTAATTAATAATTATTATATTTATTAGTTTATTAAGAGACTGGAGGGAGGAGCCCAGTGACTCCATTACTAGTACAGGAAGACAGTTACATTGGAGAAGAAGAAGAAGAGAAACCATCGAAGAAAGAAGATGAAGATAAAAGAGGAGGAGGAGGAGGTAAATGAATGCAACAATTGTTAGTATTGATGTCCTTATGCTGTGTAGAAAGTTTGAGTCGATTCTGACTTCAATTTTTCAAGTTATGACCATTTTTAAAAATGAGCCAAAATCTGAAAAATTCCCTTATACCCCATGGTTTTTTTTCCAAAAATGGCTCCGAAATCACTTCCAATTTTTATTATATTTTCTGATACATAATGATGCCCTTATGCTGTGTAGAAAGTTTTAGCTGATTCCGACTTCAATTTTTCAAGTTACAGCCATTTAAAGAGTGAGCCAAAATCTGAAAAATTCCCTGTACTATAATGTTTTTTTCCAAAAAATGGTTCCGAAATCACTTCCAATTTTTATTATATTTTCTGATACATATTGATGTCTTTATGCTGTGTAGAAAGTTTTAGCTGATTCCGACTTCAATTTTTCAAGTTACGGCCATTTTAAAAAGTGAGCCAAAATCTGAAAAATTTCCTGTACTATTTGTAATGTGGTAGCGTTACTATAGCCCATGGTTTTTTCCAAAAAATGGCTCCAAAATCACTCCCAAATTTTATTACATTTTGTGATACATATTTACATGTATATTATCATTATTTGTTATTGTTGTTGTTGTTATTATTATTGTTATTATTATTATTATTATTATTATTATTATTATTATTATTAGGATCTCTCAATATCTACTGCTGAGGCTCATGGTCATTCAGTTATTATTGCTAATGATCCTGATGCTGATAACTGGCTTGGCAGAAAAACAACCGTGGAATACTAATGAGGGAGGGAGGGGCAACTGGCGAGTGTTTACTGGCAATGAGATTGGGAGCATGTTGGGCTGGTGGGCCATGGAAAATTTTAATAAAAATTATAAAAATTTTGATGGTAATTTTTAAAAAATTTATGCATAATTTGTATTAATTTTTGTTATTATTTCTAAGGTTCTAAAGTTCATTTAATATGCAGTACAGTTTCATCAAAATTATTACGATCAATAGCTAAAGTTGAAGGGATCCAGTTTTCAGTTAGTGGCTAGTGGGACAGTCTCTTATTGTAGCTCCTCCTCTTTTGTCTGTAAGAAACTCTCACTGGGTTCAAGTGGATGGGTAACTTAAGCCACACCCTCCTTGAGAAAGGAGAGGAGGTTCTTTTTGCTTTTGAAGAAGCAATAGGATTCATGTTTGGTACTGCAGTACTGGATGAAGATGGAGTGAGTGCAGCTGCTGTGACTGGAGAAATGGCTGCATACTTTTACTCTAATGGACAGGCTTTCTCTTTACTGTTGGAAAACATTTATTTAAAATATGGTCAAGTTGTCTCAAGCAATTCTTATTTTATATGTCATTCAAAAGAAATGATAAAAGATTGAACTCTTTGATCAACTGAGAAAAGATGGACAAGTAATTATAATGAGGTAGTGTATTTTGAATAAAATATCTCCCTCCTCCTTTTCTTCTCCTACAGTATCCCAGTATTTGTGGTCCTGCTGGTGTTACTAGTATATGTGATATTACTGTTGGGTATGACAGTACCAGACCTCCTCACTATAAACCAGTGAGTGTAACCTGTCAAACAGGTTTACTAGTATTATAATACCAGTCAGTATTACTAGTATTACAAACAGGTATTACCAGTTGATCCTGGTAGTCAGATGATCATGTTCTCTTTGCATTGTGAGTTTACTTTGAGGACCTCAGGGACTGAACCAAAGACCAAGTATTATGTGTACATGTTCAGTCCTCCTGGAGTACAGTATGTTTTACTGCCATTTTATAATATATATTAATATTTATGATTATTATTATTATTATTATTATTATTATTATTATTATTATGGGTTCTCACTTAAAGATACTCTATCTTGTGGAAGCTAATACTATTAATAGTTAAATGTATGAATTGAATATATGAATAATTAATTAAGTGTCCTAGTAGCTGGAGAAGGCTAGATACGGCTATGCTGATCAAGTGAATGTCAGTAAGTAACAGCCTGTGCCTGAAGTTCAACTAACTGGAGCATGGCAAGCAAGAAGCCAAAAACTACATTGCTATCTTGCTATATCATTTGTGCAATGACTGCTTGTAGCTACATGTATCTTTAATGCTTGCTAAATGCTATAAGCAAGGTGCTAACTTTAATTGCTACAGAGATTACAAAGGTAGATCATCAAGAACTACATGATACATCAAGTTCTAAGCTGCTTAAGTTGCATAATCATGCATGAATAATTGAGTATTGTTAGTCTGTCAAGGTCTTGCTTTGCTTGCTTGCTTAGGCTCGCCCCTTTAATGTTTTACATTCATCTAGTATTTTCTATTTTTTGACAAATACTTAGTGCGTTTGCCCATGGCAAGTCCTTGTATGTGTATTATGTGTGCTTTGTCATCACTATAATTATATTCATTAGTTGTTATCATGGTACCATATACAGTCAGATCTGATCTGCAGATCTGCCACACAGTATCATCAGTATGATTGTAGTGGTCACATGATAGACTATACTGTATGAGCTATTTTTGGTAAGGCTATTTTGGTAGAGCTATTTTTGGGTAAAGCTATTTTTGGTAGAGCTATTTTTGGTAAAGCTATTTTTTGGTAGAGCTATTTTTGGTATTCTTGGTGTGTCACTTGTGTGGGAGTTATCTTGGCTGTTTTTCTCTTTGCAAGTTGCAACTGTAAGACAGACTATTCGGTATGCTGTTGAGTCTCATTATGAATCCCTATTTTGTAGAGTCCACACAATGAAAGTCAACATAATGAAGTTGTTGGTATATACTCCTATCATAAAGGCCCTCTTCTCTCTCCTCCTCCTCATGTCAGGTGATGTTGAACTCAACCCAGGACCTGGTAAAGGTAGTTATAATATTGTGTGCCATAATTATCATTATTTAAACTGTAGGAACTCCAAAGGAGATACTACAGGAATATTCAGCTAAGCTATCCAAAGCAATAGCAGCTGATGTTAACAATGTAGCTAAAGCATTGTTTGCCAAGGATCTAATACCAAAAGGGACTAGAGAATATGTAGTGAGAGCAGTTGGTGTACCTACTGCTGATAAAGTTGATAGAGTAGTGACTGATGTCATGGATCATTTAATGGCTTCTCTTGATGAAAGACAATATTTAGTTAAAGTGTGTCATGTATTGACTCAACAAGGTGCAGCAATACAAGAGATAGGAAATGTTATGCTTAAAGAACTAGGTATGTACATGTACATAAGTCAATCAATGCTAACCTTTTGTGTTCTCAATAGAAGTTGCTACTGTCCATTCTCCTCTTCCTCAAAGTGGAACTAGTTTTGCTAGTAAAGGTGAAGATTAAATATTAACATGTACTTATTTTAGCAATTTTCATGATATTGACATTTTGCTGGTACCGTAGTGCGCCTTTTTTGAGAGCTATAGGTTTCATGGATTTTTGTTTTGCGGATTTAATTTTTTGCGAATTTATACTGTCTGCCATCTTGTACAGTATTAATTTGATTTTCGCGAATTTAAAAAAAATCGCGAAATCCGTGAAATTTAAAGCCCTCGAAAAAAGGCGCCCTACGGTATTTAATTTAGTGTTTTGATCATTTAATATTAATAATAATTCAATATTTATTAAAGTTAGCACAGAATTACCTTAGCGATTTTTAAAAATTGTTAGAATTTACTAAATTAAATACTCGCAAACAATTGTCTCCTTAAGGTATTTTGCACCTGGTGCCATCATTAATAATCATGTGCAATTGTAAATTAATAGTTGTGGCTGTTGTATGTATTCTGTAGTTAGCATACAACTGTTCTTAGATAAACCTGATCTTGATTGTTGTTGCAACAGTCTGTTATGTTAATGTGCATCACTCATTTCATTTTCCATTTCTTTCTACTAGGCAAGGAGCTTAATATGAGAACAGTCATGAGGATATTTACTCCTTCTGCTCACCATTACATGATAATAGGGATTGGATTGGATGTAGAAGTAGCAGATCTGAAATCAACTGAGGAAGCAACTAATAATCTTATCACAGTATTCCAGAGGTGGTTTGATGCCAATAAAGATGTCAGTTGGGATACTTTAATGGAACTTTGTGACGACTATCCTGATCAACTTGGCAAGGCAAAGGCTAAGCTAAATAAAACACTTGGTATACAAGTAGGTATGTACATTATGTATATTAAATGATTCAGTGCTCATTACAAAGTGGCAAGAGTTTTTTTGTTAATTATTCTTAAATTTAGGTGGAGCGACTATAATGTTTTATATACATTCTTCAAGTAATAAATAGTCTTTCTTTTTTGTAGGAGAGAATACAAGTAATATTGATGATCTAATAAAACCACCAGGTATTACTCACGCATTAACTCTTTACTGGCTAATACTGTATAGTGGAAAATTTTTGTGGCCCAAAATTTTCGTGGATTTCGCATTTTTTCAAAATCCACGAAAATAAAATCCACAAAAATTGATTTAATACAGTTCAAGATGGCCGAAAAGTAGAAAACCACAAAAATTAAAGCCACAAAATTGATTTTTGAATGGATCTGTGAAATTTTTGGGCCATGAAAATTTTCCGCTATATGGCACTGCCATGTGGCTGTCGTGTGTGGGCATTGCAATTGGCTAGCAATGCCGAGCAGCGTCTTGGAGTCTGGAATACTTTGATGCCTTAAGATTACCAAGTGATGATTATAGCTGTTCAGACTCAGAGTTAACTATTAACCCCATTCGTGAGAGAGTCAATTTATACAAACTAGGCTCCAGTGACTTACTAGCCTTAAGTGTGTGAGTTGCCTTGCTAATGATGCTATATGGTTAATTTCTTTTACTTATGTGACTAAAAACAAATTATTTCTTATGACCCCCAGGTCATAAAATTTTTAATATATTTTCATAAAATTTTTATCATATCTCCTGAAGAAATGAACAAATTTTGACTTGTGGAAATCATAGACTAGCTTATTATACCTCTAGTAAGACTTACACTGTTGATGTACTTGGACACATTGCATTTACTGTTTTCTTGCTGATCTTTTGAGTTTGTGATGTTGCATAATGTTACCATCCTTTCTTTCTTCCCCTTCCAGCCTCCAGGACGTAATTTGTAAGTAAATTGGGCTTGTTTAAAGTAAATAAATAGGATAAAAGTTGTTGCTGCATTACACACATGGAAAACACGTGTGCTGGGTGCGGTCTTTTACATGTCACATTTTCATGACATCACTACCCACGTGGGTGTTTTCAGAACAAGACTATATCAAGCAATGTATACCAGACCCTCCTGCCGTCCACCCCAATGACTGTAGGCGGAGGGTCTGGGCAATGAGACTATCCGGACCACCTGATGGACAAAGGGGTCCTGGATAATCGAGGTTATACTGTAACTGGTTTATTCAGAAGCCATACAGAACAAAGGCCACCAAGCATGGTTGATAGTGGATATTCAATGAATATTATTGTATATCTGGCTGCCCTAGGGAAATATGGATATTGCCCTAGGGCAATATCCATATTGCCATGTTATTGAGCATATTATGAATAATGGAATAAAAATTTTATTAACAGTTTCTTCACCAATTGGCATATTTAATACTGTAATTTCTCTAAAAATTCGTCATCACTGTTTTGGGGCAGGTAATTTTGAGAACAAAATTTTAGACGTCAAACGGAAATAATTAAACCAAAATAATTATTTTTTTGACGAATTTAGAGGCAGCATGGTGGTGCATGAGTGCGTCATGAAAGTCTGCCAAGTCGCTGCTTACCAGCCACTCCATTCCCATTGAAGATGAATATAGAGAATCCTGATGAAATTAGAACTTGTGGCTAGGATATTTTTTCATGACGAATATTTAGACTACTTTAGGTACTATTTTTCCCAAATAATTATTTATTTTCAAAATTAGAGTGCCGAATTTTTAGAGAAATTATGGTAATATTAGTGTTATTTTATTAATTGAGGTTTTCAATTTTAAATAATTTTTTGTCTGTAGAGTTACACCACTATCGTGAAGCACTTAAGACTATTGTGAAGTGTCATCTCACCAAAGCAGTAGTTCAAGGAGAAGCTCGTGTTGGTAAAACATGTTTCAAGTCACTTCTACTGGATGAAAAGTACGTCAAAGCAAGTACCGGTATTGCTGAGCCAAGAGTTGGTATCTACTGCTACAGACGAGACACTGGGAAACGATACAAGCTATTGGATGTCACAGAGTTAGAAGAAATTGTTAAGAATGCTTTGAAAAAAGATGCAGTAGAAAAATTGACCAATTCTCCAGTAGAAAATCAGGTCAGTGAAGGTATCAATGAAAAGAAACCAACCAGAGGAAATGAAACAGCTGACGAGACTGACGATGGATTTGTTGATGAATATGAAGCCACCGATAGACCTGGTAATGGAGATGGAGTGCCTCGAGATGGAAAGGAAAGTTCGCTGAGTAAAGAAGTAGAGAAAGTACTTGATGAAGTGCGACAGTGTTCAGGGAAGGAGAATCGTCTTGAAGGTGCTCAATGGCTATACCTCGTTGATACAGGAGGTCAAATTGCTTTTCAAAAGTTGCTTCCAATTTTTATGCCATTCGCTCAAGTTCTTATTCTGGTTGTTAATATTTCAAAAGAGCTGTCTAGCAGCTCGACTGCAGTGATGCACATTGAAGGTGAGGATCACAGTGATGGGAGTCCATCCAGATTGACGGTCGAAGAAGTTTTGAAGCAAATAATTTCTTCAATAGCTTCTGGGATGCAGCATTTCAGGGATAGCTATAAAGATCATGAAGTTCTACGAGATTTAGTTCCAGAGAAATTGCAGATTCTCACAATTGGTACACATGGAGATGAATGCAGTGATGTAGCAAAGTCCACCCACACTTTGGAAGAAAAATTGGCAGAAATAATCAAAGGAAATCATGATTGTGAGTCAATTGAAGCTAATCATGTAGTTCGTTTATTGGAAATTGATGGTCGCATTGCTAGTGCAGCTGTTGAAGAAAGAGAAAATGAGGAAAATTTTAAGAACATGAAGATTTCTTTGGATGAAGTAGATAAGATCTTAACGAAAGGTGATGAAGGAATCAACATTCCATTTTATTACTACTTCTTTGATATCGTACTTCGTGTTGCAGCAAAAGAGGGATGTGGTGTCTTGCAATTATCCACCTGCGAAAGTTTTGGGAAAGATTTAAAACTTGAAGAAAAGGAAGTGATGGAATCCCTTAATTTCTTGCATCATATCAACAGTATCATTTATTATCATGATTCGAAAGCCTGCAAAGACCTGGTGTTTGTTAACATAGGCAGTCTCATTGGCATTCTCAAGCAGTTGGTCAGGCATGTTCATATTGTTCACTCCAAAGCAAGAAAATATGCTGGAGATGATGACGTTATAAAGGGGATCCTTTCAGCAGCCAAGTTTAAAGAGATTTGTAAAGAACAACTTGACCCAATCACAGAAAAGCTAAAAGTTGAT